TTGCGCGACTCGAATCCAAACCTCGAACTTCAGCATTCTGCGCTGATATGAATATTTGTGTTACAAGGGCCGTACAACTTGTACCAGAGAGGGCTTGTACTGAAACTAAACTTAACTTCAGCATGCATGTTGGTCAAATACACTATACTATACTCTACAACCATAGTGGGTCCCTTGTGGAATGGAAATTAGTGAGAGGAGAAGTTTGGGAGTGAGGGATGGGAGCGATGGGAGGCGACGTTGGCGGGGAATAGATGAGATGGATATAAGACAAGTTAAGTAATTTCATTTGGCGACGAGAAGGAATACCATGGCATATCCCCAGGTCCCAACAATGCCATCATCGATTCCCCTGGTAACGTATTACACGTGACGTTCATATCCGTCCTGGATGTCGCCCAGTCAAGTAAAGCTGGCAGGCAGGGGGGCAGGAAATAGTGGGATATTGGAATAGAAACAGGGTAGGCGACGTCGTTGATGGTATAGATAAAACTGTCGTGGCGCCACAGCTGCGCGTGCACTCGACTAGGCGCCCTGTTATGGGGTGCCAATAAATAAAGGCAGAAATCGATGTCTGCTGGAAAAAAAACCTCACAAGGATTCTGCGAGAGTGAGCAGTTAGTTGGTAAAAGAGGTCCTTACCAGGGTCATAGTTTAGTTTTAGTAAGTGTTGCACGGCACTTGCAACACAATAAGGTCATATAAGTGCCGAAGATTAGAGGTGTTCCAAGAGAGTAACAAAATTAATACAAAAACGAAGGAGGGGGGATACAGACGATAGATAACCAGGCTCTGTGGTGCAGGGTTTAGGCGCTTTGCTATTGCACATGGACGATGTGATGGGGAAAGGTTTTTTTGTCGAGCATCTCCGCCTGTCGACTGGAATATCGTATTACTCCCTGTCCAGATCGGGTATGACAGGCAGGGTCGAAGTGAATAGCCTTCATAAATTATCTAAATTGTGTCGGTGGGAGCGTAAAACACGTGCGATGGCTATGAGTGCATAATTGCAATTCCAGAAATCCTATCCGGTCTCCTATAGGCAATATGATTTAGTGTTGCAGGTGAAGATTCGTACTATTAGGGTTGCGTATTTACTTCGAGCACAAAGTATGACCTAGGTGCTAGGTGGTGTTTTAAAGGAGAAGTTGCGCCTGGACACTGCCCTTGCGACATGAAAAGACAAGATAAGATAAGATTAAATTACCCGTATATTGATCTCAACAAAAAGAAATTTGCTACAGTATGGTAATTGCATACACACACACTCACACACACACACACACACACACACACAC